TCCAGCACAGAAAGGAGGAGCCTAAAACCCGGGCCGGACTGACTGGCTGAAACGCGGCACACCCCCTTCTAACAGCACTGCTGTCTCCCCACAGACACCTTAACTATTTCCTCACCTTGTGCTTATGCCTAGACAGTTCAGACTTCTTGACTTATTGAAGTAAAGCTACCCGCAACAGCAACAAAAAAACTGTCTCTGAGGAGTCTGGAGTTTGGCCCACAAAATGCTATCATAGGTTTGAAGAAAAAAGAAAAAAAAAATTCCACAACCTTTTGAGGAAAAAAAAAAAAATTCAAGCAGGCCCACACATAATCTGTGACCAGAGTATTTGAGAAATTGAATGCCCCAGAATTTAAACACACACCATTTACAAGTTCTACACATCACCAACCCTTGTATTTTAGTGCATTAAACATTTCTGCCTAATTAAGTGCAGAAGAAACCGAAGTAATTTACAGATTTTGTCTAAACTGGTTTAGAGATAAAGTGGTGTTTTTAAATGACAGACAAGAACAAATCTGTAGCATCACATACATTCAGTTTATAAAAAAGCCAATCATCTTTTAGCTGTCAGCAACATCCAAAAAGTTGACAGGACCACTGTACATATAGCTGTGGACTGGATTTAGGTATGAGAATATGGCTGAAGATATTGTCATAATAAGAGTACACTGTAGTTAGCAAGGTAAGGTAATCAGTTACACCCAACTTTAAGATAATAAACTGCGAGATTAAGGTAGTAGAACTTTAGATTTTTTTAAACAAAAAATATTGACTGAGTAAGATAACTCATACAAGATTAAATATAATTCTTCCTTGTGTTCATTTCTGTGAAAAACATGACTTGATTATCTCTAAATAAATGACATTATTTCTAACAGCAAAGCAACAATATTCTTCGTTTTTAATCAAGAAAAATGCCTGACAAGGAAAACACTTTTAACAGGAAGCCAGCTAAGTATGTTGACGCCCAATACCATTGAAATGTATTAATTCTTGTCACCAATTTCAATATTACATTATTCATTACACCATATTCATTATTACTAGCCTAATTAACATAAGTTAAAAAATAGTCTTCGCTGTAACAATTAAATATGCATTTATTGTTATTAAAGTTACAAAAGTGATTCAGTGAAGAGTAGTGAGTGATTTTCTTTGCCTTTTGTTTTTTGATTTACACATTAAGGGAACAGCTAGCAACAGGTATACTGGGTTGCAGTGTCTTTAAGAATTAATTCACAGATTTACTATGTTGACATACACCCGATTTCCCCCCAAATGTTTGTGTTAAGACATAACCAACTTTTACAAGGATACTCGCAAAGACGGGCATTTTGGCACAAGCATTGTGTATTTGATCATTCAAGTGCAATAAGCCACCAAAAAGACCTCAATTCAGCACTTGCACGATGTGAGACCAGCGGTTTTTCTGTGAATGTTTCAGGTATGTGCTCACAGAAAGTCTTTCAGACAGTGTGTGCATACGGAATTGAGGAATTCTTCTTTTTATCTGATACATACCAAAACACGTCAAATACAAGCTTTCAAAATAGCCTCGCATTTGACCTACCTAGCAGCTTACTCTTGCAAAGAACCGCTTACTTAGGCATGTCAGTGAACAGACAACAGACAAGCTCTTAGTGGTAACCCAATGTTTCACAGACTGATTTTCACAATCAAACATGGAAATGCATAAGAGTCCAAATGCAACAGTTCAGCTCAACTATACATATCTAGCTCTCTGTTTACTTTCTCAGGAATCAACAAGCAAAGTACAGTGTTTCCACTGCCATTATATTATGGGGGGGGATTTGCATTGCTGTTTATGCAAGGTCAGAAAGCTCTCTGATTTCATCAAAAATATCTTAATTTGTGTTGTGTCTAACGAGTTTGGAACGATATTGAAGGTGAGTAATTAATTACAGAATTAAACATTTTGAGTGAACTATCCCTTTAACTCTTTCCCCGCCAAACACCGAATTTTCCATTATTCATGAGACGACGCTTCCCTGCCAAACACGGAATTTTCGGTGTTTTCACTGTTATATGCTAGAGGCGCTATTACGCATCTCCTGAATGAGTATAGAAAGTGCTGATCAAAAACACAGACCAAGACGACGCAGAAATGAGCGACTTTGCTCAAAATATTTCTTTTTTTTACGAAACCTCCCTTTATTCAAGTGTTGATTAAAAGAACGCTTGAAGCTAGAATAAAACTAGAATATAATTGTTTTTTTGTTTTTTTAATTAGAGGGTCTGATCTGTATTTTGATGTATTGCATGATCAGATATTCATACAACAAAATATTCAGGGGGGCATGAAATCTGAAATCAAAAACAAAACTTTTTTTCAAAAACGCTGGTGGGGAAAGAATTAAGCTGGGATATGTAGTATTTCAAAACAAATCACACACATTACCTTTATACATACCCATTTGTCAGAGAGGGAAAGTGTTTTTGGGGAAACGTATAAAAGCATTCATAATTTTGAAACCAGTCCTCTTGCTATGCTGCAGAAAACAGACACTTCCCCTTTAAACAAAACACTTTTTCACTCAGTTCAGACAACTTTAAAACTGAGATCTCAACTGAATGCGTTTCGTGCATTGAGACACAACCTTCATGGTGTGAACATGGCGTGTAGGTCCAAAGAGGGCTGTACCTGCAGTATCAGGTACCTCACTAATCTGCCCTATATCTGCACTGTTTATTTGACAGCCAACACTTGATCTCATAGTGGAGGCCCTGTATTCCCACCACAGGCGTGATACTCAAACACCCTGACTAAACTACTCTTAAAGAAATGAAAGGTCTAGGCTATGTATTGTAAGATCGCTTTTCATTATAGTCAACCCAGGGTATTTAGAACTTATGTCATAATTAGTGGAATGTAATAAACAGAATTTGCCTTGTTCAGCATCATGCTGTGCGAACCTGTACTTCATGAGTGGATATTTAAGAATGAATCTCCACGGTGTCAGCATGCCCATGTACTGTACAGCCTCTATAGAACTCTATAGAAAATACTCAACAAAGCAAAGGAAAGATTTTTAAGCCCAATTTAAATATAAATAAATGAACTCTTCCCATCGGTTTCTCCCACAAAGCTATTGTATGGCTTCAGAAGATTTGGGCTAATATGGACCACTTTTATGGCGTGGTGCTTTTGTGTCCTTTTGGTAGCTTGAAAGACTGTTCCTATTCAATGTAACAGCATGGAAAACGGCCTTCAGATTTTCTCCTTTTGTGTTGCACAGAAGCAAGCAAGTCTGACTTTTTTGGAGAAACATTTGTAGCAATGTTTTTTTTTGGGTGAACTACTGGGTTATTTAAAAAAAAGTGTGTGGGGGGGGGGGGGGGGGGGGAGTAAAGTGGCAGATTATAGTTGGGCAGAAACATAAAAAAAGGACGACGGCATCCATAACCTGATGATGTGTCACATCAGCCATATCCAGTAGACGGTTCGGTTGACTATAATGAAAGCAATCTAGATTTGTTGAGTCGTGCCACTCACGTCCGGTGTAGACACAGTATTATTCGAAATACAGCCAGTCTAAAATTTTCCCTTTTGTACGCCCCATGTTGTACGAGAGCAGATTTATTTTAGAGCCAAAATCAACTTGGCAAAAAGAAAATGTCGTCCTTCTAGAGCAGCATCTCCTTGTGTGCCTCACAGAGCTCTTCCACACTAATGCACATCGACACACTTGAAAGCCTCTTCCAGGTGCAGCAGAATACTTCACCAGAATACAGTCCTCTCAACACACACACACATATATATACTGGTAGGACGGCACGATTAATCAAAATGTATCAAATCTCAAAGTGTACAATTTCAAAGTGAAGCATGCCACTGTGTTTTAACATGTGAGCAGCTTCCACACCGCCGGTGTTTGAATCATCTCAGAATGAATGGCTCTGTTTGCAGTAAATGCAGACATGGAGCTTGTGTGGAGTAGAATTGGCTCTGAGTTTGGGTCACTTATAACGTGCATTTGGGAACACAACACGTGACAACCATCTTATCTCATACTCGTAATCAGCAGCTCCCTGTGGTTTCACGCCAAAATAAAAGTTTGATGAAAAAACATTTGAAAATGAAGAAACATTTAGTCCTGTAATTTTACAAAGTAATGTAAAAACCCAAAACATTAATATGTAATGTAGAATAAAATAAAGTAAAATAATAATTATGATGACAATAATGATGATGATGATTATTATTATTATTATTATGATTACCATAATGACAATCACAACATTTTGGCCAAATCATGCAGCCTTACAAACACAAACCCGGATTTTTTTTTTTTTAAATCACATTTCAAATGACAAAACTGGAATAATAAAAAAAAAATAATAAAAAAAAAAAAAACATTTCCACAAACCATGCAGCCTTGCATATTGGGTTAACCAACACACTCCCTGAACCTTAATGTGCATCTAACCCTAATCACATGATTTATCCAGAAAGTTTCTTAATAGAAAGCGATTAAATAATTCACTGTGCTTAATGAATAGTTTAAATGGGCATAGGGGAGTTCAGAAGATAAGCTGGAAAACTGGCTAATACTTTAATACTAAAAAAGAGGGGGAGGGGGGATGACAGGGGGGCAGGAAAGATAATAAGTTCATCATAATCACATGACAGTATTAACTAGCCTCATAAATCACCATAAATAATCACAATTGTTCCTGGACTTAAGTCTTATTGATTCAATCTGATTTCTGGGCAAATGATAACCTTCAGTTCAGCCAATCCATGGCATATCACGAAGTACTAAATAACATATGACTCATAAACCTGAAATTGTCCATGCAAGTGTCAGCGGTTTCATTCATTAAGCCCTAATATAATTAACCAGCAATTTGTCAAAGTTATAACATTTATTCTTCTTTAAGCAACACAAGTAAAATGCAAAGCAGACACAAGATCAGCTCTCAAGGTGTGTCATCACATGCAAAGACCTTCACACAGGAACAGAAGATGCACTTACTTTCTTTTGGACTTGGGTGTGAGAGAGGAAGCATCCTTGCATGGCCGGCCCCGTGGGCGTCTATCTGAGGGGGCCGGGCTCCCTGAGGGCGTGGCCCCAGCACTGCTCAGGGGAGGAGATGGTCCTTGCTCAGAGGGCTCCAGACTCTTATCCTCTGATGACATTCTGTATAAAGAGACAAGCATATTCATATATTACATGTGTTTGTATGACACTGGTCTGACAGAAACACCTACAAACTTTAAAAGATTTGAACAAAGCTAAAATCGTTCAACTTTTATCATGGCAATAAATTACTTAATAAAAAACAATGTAGAAAATTTATTTAAAAAGTCAATCTGGTTACTTAGAAAACATTGGTGAAGCAAAGTTTACATTCAGCAAACTAAAGAAATAATATCATTATTGCATAACCAGACATTCATCCACAAAGTAGGCCCGATAAAAGATTTAGATGTTTTATGTTTTAAGTAACAGACATTTTTTTATGAATAATTTAAGAATTCTCTGTCCAAAATACAAGCTTCACTTTTCTGATGTGACACATGCCCTATACTTTTCTAGACTGTTGTAGATGCTTTACATTAAACAATATACATGATATACAATAGTGCTGTGTTCGATACATCGATACGACGATGTATCGTCACAGAGATTTGAGTATACGAGTATCGAAACAGCTGGCCCTGTATCGATATTGTGGCACGTGTGCAGCAGTGGACCGCACTTAATTTGAATACAAGAACAACGTTTAAAATGGAGCAGAAAAGCGCGAGGTTTCTAAAAAAAATTACGAATAGAGCATAATATATAGGCTATAACAAGGTTTAATCTGGTCGCAGAGGAACACAACTGGGTTGCCTGATATAAAGAGACGTAATCCCCGAAACAGAGCTTCACACTTGCGCAATACGGAAATATCTGCTAAATGTGCTACTTATCTTTGTCAACCTGGCAACCCTGTGCACGCTCTCTCTCCACTGTGGATAAATGCGTTTGCTTTCTGAAAACACCGGTTTTAGTTTTAGCTTGCAGTTTAGCGATCTCCACTTCAATATTCTATTCTCGTAAAAGTGTAATTCATCAAGTGTTCATTTATGAGAGAGAGAGAGAGAGAGAGAGAGAGAGAGAGAGAGAGAGAGAGAGGGGCTGTGTATGTATGAATTACCACTGTTTTGCCGCGTTTCTCTATTAACAGTGAAGCTGTGGCTTTAATTCCTTTAGAAACAATGATGTTACCAGCTCCTTGTTGAGAAAGATAACGTAGCTCTTGAGCGATTAAGCTATTTAGTTGATAAAATTGCGGGGCAGCACTAAAAATTTTGTTCCTGAATGACTGAGAGCGGCCGCAACGTGATCTGTGTGAGTGACTGACCCGGCGTGTGTGTGCGTTAGATACAGAAGACAGTGCATTAGTTTAGAACTCTTCTAATTTGTATTCTGCAAGAAGGCCTACACACTTCCAAATGACAACACATTTTTAAGAATATTTAGATCATGGAAATTAAGTATCAAAATATTAGATACCTTAAAAACCTGAATAAATTGTAAATAAACATTTTCTAACAAAAAATTGCAAAGTAACAAGTAGAAAAAAAGACAAATGCACAAAGAACGTGTATGGAGATTTTTCCATCTACAGATATTTCCCTGACCTTCTTTTCTCTGTAAATTAAAGATGCACACTATTGCTGAAAAACACAATCACTACTCAGCAGTCAGATGTCTGTATGCACAAAGACACAGATCCCTAAACAAGACCACATCTGCAGATAGGGATGTAACAGTATGAACATTTCTTATCACGATTATAGTGACCAAAATTATCACGGTTATCAGTATTATCACGGTATTGTTCAAATGTGCTGGAGATGTTAAAAAAGTACCGACACATAAATCACTTCACCAAGTTTTATATTTAAAAATCAACAGACAACAAATAAAATGACTTTTTGTTTGCATAATCACTAAAACAATAACATTACCAATGATGTTCGGATTTTAAATGACAACTTGACTGACAACAGTTTAATAGCATGTTGAAATATCTAACGTAAATGTTCACATAAAGCTTTGAAAAAGTTTCATAAAAAGGTAAACCTCACATTTCAGCCTTTAAATAAAGAAAAGATACAAGTCAAACTGATAATTGATTAATAAATGATTTTATGTATTTTATCTGCTCCATAAATAATTCTAGATAGCTTATCTGAATTGTTTAAATGTGTAGAATCCACATAAGCTTGTTTTTCATCAACCGGTCAAAATTTACAGCAGGGCATGCAAATTCAGTCCGTTTTTGTGCAGACAGAAACTGCATACAGGCTGAATGTAAATACAGGTCTCTGTAAATCCATTCACTGATAGCAGGTGGCGCTTATGGAAAAATTTAATTAGAGCTGTTTCCCGTAAACTCCGTGGACAAAGCAGTATTGCGATTAAGATCACTTCCTTTAGGCATTACATGGAGCGAAGATGAAAACAAAATGCCATCGAATCATTTCTGAAGTCAGTTAGAACCTTCAGAGGTACATTCATATAATTAATTCATTCATATATTCATTTGGATAATTCCCTTAGCACTCTTTTAAAACCTCCCAGCTTTTTCGCCCTGTTTTCACTCAAAACGAAACTACTCTGCGTGCTGTGCACACGTGAGACTGTTACTTAAAACTGTGCTTTATGCTGGACAGTATTTATTTATCACGAGTTGTTCAAATCGCGGTAATCTAATACGGTTTTAATGATAATTAAAAGATGAAACGGTAATACTAACCGTGGGGAATTTTATCATGATTTATCGTCAAACCGGTATCGTTACATCCCTATCTGCAGATGAAACTTTTTTGTAGAAGCATTTTTTAAATTTGAACTAGCACCTTATGACTACACCACGTTATGTACAAGAAGCTGCAAAAAACAAAGGCGCAAGTGGAATGTACTAAACATGGTGACATTAATTCTTAAGTAAATATAATGGGCGATATATTGCGTCACCAAAAATTATTGAGGTCATGTACATATATCGCGCGATAAGTCAATATATTGATTATTGCGACAGAGGTAACTTTAGAATTTAGTGGCCAAATTGGCTGGTGAGAGAAAAAGTTAAATTCAAACCCTGGTCATCAAGGCAAAAACACCAATTATGCTCGTGGTTGCTCTGGTGGCATTATCGCTGTGGCTTTCTCTGGTTCTGAATGCTGTGACCGAGCACAACACATGCCCTAAAGTTTTGTTCCGAATACTCATAATGCACATGTAAATGAATATGTGAATCAGATTGTAAGGAGTAGGGTTTTTATATAAATGGAACTCAGAATCTGAAATCAGATTGGATTAATTCCAAAAATTATAACAACTAAACGTACCTAGCGTTACTCTCAACAGCAAAACAATTAAACTCTGCTGGCGAAGTAGGCCTATGTAATTTATGTGCCACTAGTATCACCAAAACTGCTACAATGATGAGTGTTTTTAAACAAGTTCCCAGAACACTCCTCCATCTCCAATTGGTTGTCACTGGTTGAGTCAATGTTGCCATGTCCAGCTGGTCAGAAAGCTCAAACAGCTGCAAGTTTTAGAGCTCTGTTGTTCCATGTATATTTACGTTATGACTTAAAAATGTGCATGTAATGCATTTTTTCCTGATCGTTTTGCGATTAATCTTTGTTATGTTCACGTAGTAACTGAGTTGATGTGTATCAAAGTTTTAATGGAAAAAAGTGTTTCAAACAGTCCTCATCTCTGCAGCACAGCAGTGCTGACACACACCTGCTAAACGAAGCTTTAAGCTAAGCACCCTCAAACGAAATCAAAAGCACCCTCAGTTAAAGCTGTATCAATGACATTTTATTGCAGATTTGGCAAAACTATCCAGTGCATTATGGTTTGCGCTCTGGAGATCAATTTCTATTTCAACGTGTTTTTGAAGTGCTGAGCAATGTAGCTAATCACAGACATATCTGTTGATTTCTTGAATCGGAGGCATTTAAGTTAGAACCCACTCAATGCTCAAATCGCCAGAGTTTTTGTTGAGGTGTTGTGTTCAGCACGAATCATGTCATTATAACAAAGTGCTGACGCGATGCAAGTAAGAGATTCGTTGTGCAGCGTAGAGAACTTTATTGATAATAACGTATCTTTGTGAGATCGCGATGAACTAAAATGAGTGACAGCTTTTTAGTGATTTTGAATGGAGCGCTCTTTGCACCATAGCAACGGACGCCACTAATATATATATATATATATATATACACACACACACAGTATTTCACAGAAGTGAGTACACCCCCCACATTTTTTTTTAAATATTTTAATATATCTTTTCATGTGACAACACTGAAGAAATGACACTTTGCTACAATGTAAAGTAGTGAGTGTACAGCTTGTATAACAGCGTAAATTTGCTGTCCCTAGTCACTAATGTCTAAACATTAATGTCTAAACACACACAGCCACTAATGTCTAAACTGCTGGCCACAAAAGTGAGTACACCCCTGAGTGAAAATGTCCAAATTGGGCCCAAAGTCTCAATATGTTGTGTGCCCACCATTATTTTCCAGCACTGCCTTTAACTCTCTTGGGCATGGAGTTCATCAGTGCTTCACAGGTTGCCACTGGAGTCCTCAGCACTCATGCAGCCCCAGACCATGACACTCCCACCACCATGCTGTAGGCAAGACACTTGTCTTTGTACTCCTCAACAGGTTGCCACCATCTGAACCAAATAAGTTTATCTTGGTCTCATCAGACCACAGGACATGGTTCCAGTAATCCATGTCCTTAGTCTGCTTGTCTTCAGCAAACTGTTTGCGGGCTTTCTTGTGCATCATCTTTAGAAGAGGTTTCCTTCTGGGACGACAGCCATGCAGACCAATTTGATGCAGTGTGCTGCGTATGGTCTGAGCACTGACAGGCTGACCCCCCCCCACCCCTTCAACCTCTGCAGCAATGCTGGCAGCACTCATACATCTATTTCCCAAACACAACCTCTGGATATGACGCTGAGCACGTGCACTCAACTTCTTTGGTCTACCATCACTTAGGGGTGTACTCACTTTTGTGGCCAGCGGTTTAGACATTAATGGCTGTGTGTTGAGTTATTTTGAGGGGACAGCAAATTTACAGTTATACAAGCTGCACTCTCACTACTTTACATTGTA